GCTGATGACACCAAGCAATTGGGACTGGTGCTGAACACCAGCAGTGGGTGTGACGGGGACCAGCGCCGGCAGCAGGTGCGAGTACCGGCGGGACCGTGGCACAGACAGGATCAAAGAAATTTCAGTAACCACCACAGGCTCTCCCTGATGACAGCCACCGGCCCCCTGCTTTGGTCTGGCACCCTTGCTCACCTGTTCCATCATCCTGCCGCAGCCAACGCCTGCCATGTTCCACGTTCTGCCGCTTGCTGCCAACACCCACCATGTTCCGTGTGCGCCCCCTGGTGGTCAGCGAACATCATAGCAACTGGTTATTTGGTTCCGCTATTTGGTCTATCTGCATATTAACCTTTTATTATATCAGATGTCCCATTCTTGTCTCAAACTTCAGTGTGTCTAAAACCAAATTAATTATTCCTATTGCAATGAATATTCCTTTTTTCCAGTTGTACCAGCATTATTCTGGTCCCCTAGGCTAAAAACCCAAGTCATTTTGGCTCTCTTTCTGCCTTCCCTTTTATCCAGTTTTAACCATTTCTTACTGATTTCATCTTTCAACATTTCTCCTTGGTGTCATACTCATTTAGGTACTCATCTCTCTTAAATTGCTACATCATTCTCCTGGACCTGGCTTCCATGACTTTGATCTTCATTTCAAATGTTATTAAGTACTGATCTTGTTGTGTCTCTCCCATAGTCAAGATCTGGCCACTCTTGGCCCATGTAACTTTACTTCCTTCTACTCCACACGAGCTCCTCTCTTATAGATTCTTCATATCTTCGAATACTAATGCTCATTCCCATCTTATACCTTAATTCATGCTGCCTTCATCACCACGTTGCCCTGTTATTATGTATCAGGGTTACCTGTAGTAGATACTCTACAAAAAAGATTAGACTTCTCTGAGTATTTTAGAGAAAGAAGTATCTGAGATAGAACTACAAAGTAATAGTAAAGAATTACCTGCCATTCCTGCAAGTCTCCACAGAGAAACAATTTAAATCTCTGACTTTAAATGCATTAAGAATATTTACTGAGCCTTTACCATGTTGTGAGCATAGTACTGGGCTCTGGAGATTAAAAGAATAAAGAAAACATCCCTCCACTACTTACTGTCTCCACTGCTACCTGCCTAGCTCAAGCCACCATTGTCTCACACTAACATTCCTCTCTGGGCTCCCTGCTGCCTCTCTTGCCCCTCCCCAACCCTTTCTCCACCTAGGGTTTCACAGTTGATCCTTCAGAAAGTTAAATCAAGACATGTTGCTCTTGCTTAAAGCCCTCTCATGATTTCCCATTGCACTTAGAAAATCCAGAGTTCTTACCCTATCTTGTCCTATCTTTCACTCACTCTGCCAGTGCTGCCCTTTCTATGTTTTGAATGCACTAAGCTTGTTATTGCTTTGTGACTGGGTGTACAGTCTGTTCTTTATTCTTAAATACAGTTCCCTTGGTCTTTGCATGGCTGGCTCCCTCTTCTCTGTCATTTCTGATCTTAGTCTAATGCAAGGGTGGGGAATGTCCGCCCTGCGGGCTGCATATTTGGTCTGGCCCTGCCAAGATAACCACTAGCGGGACTGGAAATTCAATAAATCTGTGAGCTTTATTCATAGCAACATAAATTTATATTAACTGAATGATATTAAGCAAATGACAGTATAAATGTCCAAATGGCCCTTGGCAGAAAAAAGGTTCCCCACCCCCGGTTTAATGGAAGGCCTTCCCCAACCACCCAATCCAAAGAACTTTCTCTGCCCTTCCCTTTAAACTATCTGTATTACACTTACATGATATGTTTCTTATCTGTTTGTCTTTTTCTCTCTTCTCACTAACTCCCTCCTCTCCTCATCCCACCCCATGTAGAATATAAGCTCTGAGAGCAGGGGCCTTTATTTGTCCGGTTCTAGTACCTAACAAACCGCCTGCAGCATGACAAGCAATCACTTTGTTCAACAACATTTGTGAAATGAAAGAGGGGCCTGTGCTTTTAAAGATGCTACAGTGTGTTGGGAGATACAAATGACTAGCTCAGCACTATACTAGTAAGAATAAGTCATATCTATAAACACATCTCTGTACACAGTTGGAAATCAATTCATTCAATGTGTGGGGGATGAAGGGTAAAATCAGCAAAACTACATTGAGGAGGTAACATTTGCCTTTGGTCCTGAATAATGAGTAAGGGCATACTAGAACATTCAAACTAACTAAAAGGGAGTGGCAAAAGATAGCACTTGCAAGCGTGGAAGCACATGTGTGTGTAGGACATAGTGCGTATAGTTCAATTTAGTGAGTAGTTAAGAGTAAGCAATAGATAGATATAATGTTGGGGCAACACAATTGCCAGATTGTAAAGAATCATAATCACCATAGTTAGGTTTTGAACTTTGTGTAGGAAATAGAGAACCTATTCTGTCAGCATTATGGAGGATACAGTATAGTTAAGGAACACTGTGTAGATGACTCAGGAAAGAGAAGGCCTAGTGGGGTGAGAGACAGCGGTATAAGAGTGGTGTTCAGGCCGAAACCCGTTTGGCTCAGTGGATAGAGCGTCGGCCTGCGGACTGAAAGGTCCCAGGTTCGATTCCGGTCAAGGGCATGTACCTGAGTTGCGGGCACATCCCCAGTAGGAGATGTGCAGGAGGCGGCTGATCGATGTTTCTCTCTCATCGATGTTTCTAACTCTCTATCTCTCTCCCTTCCTCTCTGTAAAAAATCAATAAAATATATTTTAAAAAAAAAAAAGAGTGGTGTTCAGATAAACCATGCATTAAAAACGTGCTTTCAGTTTGGATTTCATTATTTCAGGTTATCCTTCCTAAAGGTTTATTTCCATCTATCTTTCAGAATTTGGTTGATCTTGCAGGCAGTGAAAGAGCTGCTCAAACAGGTGCTGAAGGTAATGAAAACTCATGCAGTATTGGTCTGAATGTTTTCCTGTTTTACAGAATAAAAAGTGCTAGCATGCATTTTAGAAACTAATAACATAATGGCAATAACAATTTTGTCATAAAGGTCTTTAATGCAAAAATCAGCGTCTGTATCGAGCTAGTTATTTCAGGCTACTGTAGCATCAATTAAAAAACTAAAACTATGCAGATGTTAGGATTGTACAGCTGGAAAGCTCCTGAGAGTACCATGAAAACCAAATTGTCATAATCAGTAAGGAAATTCAGAAAGGTAGTGGGGTACAAAATTAATATGCTGACATTAATAACTCTCATGATACAAACAACAACCAGTTAGAATATTAAGCGTACAAAAGACTCCATTTACAGCATGACTTAAAGGATGTAATACCTAGGATGAAACTCAACAAAAATTTCATAAGACCAACATAAAGAAAACTTTAAAACAGACCTGAGGAACATAACCTTATACTTACACAAATGGATAAGCATACTTAGATGGGAAGGTTCACAATCATAAAGACGTCAAACCTCTCTACATTAATTTCCTTCAGCCTGACATAGACACACTCAGCTGAGGGTGGCCTATATCCACCAAACCAGTGAATTCTCAGACCTGTAAATAAGAAATAAATGCTTGTTTTAAGCTGGCTTGTTAAGCTGCAATATTACAGTCATAGCTGAATAATGCACCTGAAATAACAGCTTCCAATTGAAAAAAAGCAAAGTGCAAAAGTCGTGTATTTAGTATACTAAATTAGTATAAAAAAGAAAGGGGAGAAATTAATATGTGTGGACTTGTATTTATAAAAATCTCTAGAAAAATGAACTAATAAAAATGGTTTGCTGGAATAGAAACAGGAATAGGTTGAATGAAGCATAAAAGTGAGAGAGTTTTTTTTCAATGTACTTTTTTTTTTAATGTTTGAGTCATTTGAGCATATTAACAATTTTAAAATGAAAACCTTTTTGGTTGTGAGCCTATAGGAACTAACTTGATTGTATGTCTATAGTTGCTTGTGAGGTTTGAAAAAAATAGATTTGAACTGAGGGGTCAGAGGCTCTTTTGGGAAATGGGCTTTTCCTCCTTCTGATTCTTAGTCATTTTCCTTTTGCTAGTTCCCTCAGGTGACAACTTTGCTGATTCATTCTATAGGTGTTAGGAATAGGGAGAGGGCTCCTTCTACCAGTGGTGTAAAAGGTGGGCTCAGATCTAGTGCAAAGCATAGACATCAGCATCTGACCCTTTTATTTCTAATTTGTCTTATAACTTACTGGTAAATAAGTTCATCATGTAGTACAGAAATCTATTTTAGTTTTCATATTTGTTTAATCAATGCAGGTGTGAGACTTAAGGAAGGCTGCAATATAAATCGAAGTTTATTTATTTTGGGACAAGTGATCAAGAAACTTAGTGATGGACAAGTTGGGTAAGACTATCCCACGGTGATTTACCTGTTAATGCTTACATTTTTCATGAGGTTGAAAATTATCATAGTTCAGTGACAAAGTGCTAATTTCTTTCATGTATTCAAAAGCTTTTGTGATTCTGTGAGCATGCATGACTTCTTATATTTATGACTATGACCAGCTAAATTAACTTACTTTAAATACTAGAGGTCCAGTGCACGATATTCGTGCGGGGGGTGGGGGGGGTGGTCCCCTCAGCCTGGCCTGCACCCTCTCCAATCTGGGACCCCTCAGGGGATGTTCGATTGCCAGACATCCCTCTTGCAATCCGGGACCACTCACATGCCTGCCGGCCTGATCCCCCTGTTCTCCCCTGACGGCCTGATTGCCTTAACTCAGTGGTCGGCAAACTGCAGCTCACGAGTACCACGTGAGGGCACGCATGTACAGTGCGATTGAAACTTCGTGGCCCATGTGCAGAAGTCGGTATTTTTTGGAAGAGCCACACTCAAGGGGCCAAAGAACCGCAGTTTGCCGACCACTGCCCTAACCACTCTCCCCTGCCGGCCTGATCGCCCCTAACCACCTCTGCCTTGGCCCCGCCACCATGGCTTCGTCCAGAAGGACATCCGGAAGGTTGTCCAGAAGACATCTGGTCTAATTAGCATATTACCCTTTTATTAGTATAGATTTCGAGTCAGTAAATTTTACCTGCCCTCTTTAATCGGAAAAGAATTTTTTATAGTGGTAGCTAAAGTTCGGCATTAATCAAGTAACCATTTTTGTTATATAAAAATTTTTTTTTTCTTCCCAAACTCTTTTTTCCCCTGGGGGTTTCATAAATTTTCGAGATAGCAAATTAACCCGATTTCTCCAAAATTCCTTGGGGGGAAATGCCAAAACCCGTTTTTTCTGCAAAATTCCTCCAGTTTTTTTTGATGAAACTTTTAGTACTCTCCAGGTGAGTTTTTTTTTTTTTTCTCAACTTAATTGGGGGGGGGGGGGGGGGGTGTTATCTTAAAGAAGAAAAAATACCTACTAAGCTTAGTTGTAGGTTTTTTGGGTTTATTTTGGGTTTTTTGTTTTTGTTCCTTTTTCATAATTTTTTTTTTAAGAGAGAGTGGAAGGGAAGGAGGAAGATAAGAGAGAGAAACATCGATGTGAGAGAGATGCATCAATTGGTTGCCTCCTGTGCGCACCCCAACCAGGAATCGAACCTGCAACCCTTTGTGTGGGCTGATGCTCCAACCACTGAGCAACAGCAGCCAGGCTAGCTGTGTTTTCTTTTTTTTTATTGACATAACATACCTGATAAAATTAATGTGCTGTCTACTAAATAGAATTTTTTAATTTTCCCAGACTTCAGTTATTCATATCTCATCTCCACAATTTTTGCCACATCTAACACTTTTACTGAAATTAACACGATATTTTTATTTAAATAACTCACTTTTTTACTTAATTTATCATAGAAGGATACTTTTTAATCAGTCCCATAAATGAAAACTAGTATCACTTGCAACAAGTGGAAGTTGTTTCAAAAAGTGTTTGTCTTTATAACAATAATTCTTAAATTCCTGCTAGCTAATTGTTGCATGCCTTGACTCTGAGCTTAAAGCCTGCACTTTCTGTTTTGGGTTTGTTTTTGTTTGTGGGGAAGGGGGGGAGGGTTGGGGATGTGAGTTAAAGGAAAAATGAGAAATTTCAATAGAATAGCTTTTTCAATGAAGGGTTCAGTGATTTAATGGTCATCTTCATGTTATCACTTAAAGTTACTTCTGATAATTGTACTTTAAGAAACATTGCTTTAAAGAGCTATTGAGCACTGGATCATGATACTGTCAGAGAAACAAAGATAGAAGATAGAGTCCCTGGCTTCACAGAATTTATAGTCTTATGGGGAAGATTAGACTGTCTTCCAACATAATTGCCTTGGATTAATAGTTACGTGGCTAGTAAGTAGGATAGAATTCAAAGGAAGGACAGCTGCTTTTTTAGAGGGAGCGATTTGCACTGGGTTTTGAAGGGTAGATGGGATTCTAGTAAACCAGTGTTTGTAGGTTTTCTGTCACCATCTGTTTTTAAAATATTTGACTCTCCTTGAAGATATTTCAGTGCCAGGGTAGGTTACAGGAATTATTACAGCATACAGAATGTTCTTTGTGTTGAAAAGTATTATGCCACCCTGAAAGAGCATTGATTTTTTTTCTCTAAAGAACTTAACTACAAGAAACCTAAATATTGACTAAAATAAATGTTTTAGTGTCAAGCACTGAACACTCATATTTTTTTTCCAGTTTGCCAGTACTGCTAAATATATGAAGAATACTCCTTATGTAAATGAAGTATCAAGTGATGAAGCGCTCCTGAAAAGATATAGAAAAGAAATAATGGATCTTAAAAAACAGTTAGAGGAGGTATGTATGAACCATGTATTTCAGTAAAGAATGGGACAGAAATAGAATTGAAATCTGCCTAAATGCTCAGAAAGGCTCTTAAATCATCAATATCTGTGTCATGTGACCTAACTTTAAAATAGTTTTTAACTAAGAAGAAATCAACACAAAAGTTTTAGTTTAATTCACTATAAACTGGAAGATTTGGTTTCTTGCAATTATTTTCGATTTCATTTTTTGTTTCCAAAGGGAAAAATTTGGGATTTTGAAATGGGCCAAGTAAATACTTTTTTAAAAAATATATATTTTTATGATTTCAGAGAGGAAGGGAAAAGGAGAGATAGAAACGTCAGTGATGAAAGAGAATCATTGATCAGCTGCCTTCTCCATGCCCCCTACTGGAGATCAAGCTTGCAACCTGGGCATGTGCCTTGATCAGGAATTGAACTGAAACTTTCTGGTTCATAGGTCAGTGCTCAACCACTGACCCACACCAGACAGGCCAAGTAGATACTCTTTAAAAATTGTCACAAATATAGGGAAGTGGGTTAAAAAGGAAGACCATGTATGGTTATGTAAAACTACTTTCTATAGTTTCATGTTATCTTGAATTCCTCTTCTAACCCTGCAGTGTCTATATCTATATCTATATCTATATCTATATCTATATCTATATCTATATATATATAAAAGCCTAGGCCAGTGGTCGGCAAACCGTGGCTCGGCAAACCGTGGCTCACGAGCCACATGCAGCTCTTTGGCCCCTTGATTGTGGCTCTTCCACAAAATACTGGCTCTTCCACAAAATACTGACTTCTGCGCATGGGCCACGAGGTTTCAGTTGCACTGTACGTGTGCGCCCGCACGTGGTATTTTGTGGACAAGCCACACTCAAGGGGCCAAAGAGCCGCAAGTGGCTAGCGAGGCGTGGTTTGCCAACCACAAGCCTAGGCTACCTGCTGACCGGCAGGTAGCTATGATGCGCATTGACCACCAGGGGGCAGATGCTCAACACAAGCGGAAACCACAGGCATGGAAACATGGAACAGACTGATGAATCTCCGAGGAAAGGGGGGAAGGGGAGAGGGCGGGAAGAGAATAACCAAAGATCTTATGAGCATACTAGAGGCCGGTGCACAGATTCATGCACCAGTGGGGTCCCTCAGCCTGGCTTGCACCCTCTCGCAATCAGGGACCCCTTGGGGGATATTGGACTGCCAGTTTCAGTCCGATCCCTGCAGGCCAGGCCGAGGGACCCACTGGTGCACGAATCCATGCACCAGGACTCTAGTCAATCTAATAAAATAGCATAATCACTTGTCGTTGTAATTTATTTGTTTTAATCATTATGGTCCCCTGGTGATCTTTTAAAAGATGAACTCTAAGATACCATATGGTAGTCTTAAAAGAACAACTCTTCTTTTGCTGTAGGTATTCAGGTCTCTACTTTTCTGACTTCTCTGCCTGTTATTTATATATTTTCAGGCAATTAATAGAATTGCTCTAGCCCAGCCAGTGGCTCAGTGGTTGAGCATCGACCTATAAACCAAGAGGTCATGGTTCAACTCTGGTCAGGGCATATGCCCAGGTTGCCGGTTTGATCCCCAGTAGGAGGTGGCTGATAGATGTTTCTAATCAATGTTTCTCTCCCTCCCTTTTATTTATTTTTTGTTTAAATAGAATTGCTCTAACAGCATTGTTATAATCTTATACATGGCATATGGACTATGCACATGAAAAGAACTGTATATTTTACTGATTTTATTATAAGATTGAGAAACTATTGTAACTGCATATTGGTGTTCTGCAGGTAGGATATATTAGTTTAATAACATTAAAATGTTCATGGTTCACAAAAATTTATATTCTTTTAGGTTACTTTTCAAGGTTCTAAAACCTAGCCATATTCATTAATATAACCGAATATTATATTCTATAGGTTTCTACAGAGACTCGGGCCCAGGCAATGGAAAAAGACCAATTGGCCCAACTTTTGGAAGAAAAAGATCTGCTTCAAAAAGTGCAGATTGAGAAAATTCAAAACTTAACACGAATGCTGGTGACTTCTTCTTCCCTCACATCACAACAGGAATTAAAGGTAAAAGTGTAAATGTCGACAGCTTAAACTTAGTATATAGAGAATAGAATTGGCATTCCTATATGTTTATTCTCTAGTTATGTATTTCTTATCCTTTGATACTATATATTCAAGAAACTCAGAACTTTTTGTGTATTTGCCTATACACATTCCTGATTCCCACATGCAGAGATAGCAATTCAAGAAGTCTGGTATATAGTCAAGGAATAGATTTGAAATGTGCTTCCTATGAAATTGATTAAGTGATTGGGAGCCACAGACATCTAGAGTGGGAATATTTTCTCTTTAAACAAATATTCATCTCAGGGAAATTGAACTAGAATATAAGTTAGCATAGTGATCAGAATTCTGGCTTGCAGTATGTGTTCTTTTTGTTTCTACTAGAATAGTTGGATATCTTTTGTTCAACAGATATTTTGGGGTTCTGGTTATGTAATAGTTAAGAGAATGACCTCTGGAGCTGAACTGTCTGGATTTGAATCCCAATTCTGTCAGTCCCTAACTCTGGACCTTAAGCAATTTCTTTTTTTAATATATATATATATATTTTTTAAAATATATTTTATTGATTTTTTTACAGAGAGGAAGGGAGAGGGATAGAGAGTTAGAAACATCAATCAGCCGCCTCCTGCACACTCCCTACTGGGGATGTGCCCGCAACCAAGGTACATGCCCTTGACCGGAATCGAACCCCGGACCCTTCAGTCCACAGGCCAACGCTCTATCCACCGAGCCAAACCGGTCAGGGCAAGCAATTTCTTAAATACTAGAAATTCGTGGAAGAGTAGGCCTTCATTCCCCCAGCTGCCAGCGCCAGCTTCCCTCTGGCACTGGGGACCCAGGCTTTCTTCATAGCCCCGGCTTCATCCGGAAGGACGTCTGTCCTAACTAGCATATTATGCTTTTATTATTATAGATAAATTTTGCTGCAGTTTCCTAATCAGTGAGACAGCCTGATCCCCACCTTATAGGATTGATGTGAGAAGTATTATAGAATGTGCTTAACATTCCATACAGCAAACCCTCAAGATTTGCTATTAAGGTTATTATTAATATATGTTATATTCAAATTACCATGCTAAGTATATAGAAGACTTCAAGAACTATGTATTGAGAGTGATGAGTAGGAACTAGCCCAATGAAAGGTGTAGAGATGAGTGGTTCAGGAAGACATCTGCATGTACAGAAGTGAAAAAACATGTTTCTTGGACTTAAAATGTTCTGGTGGCAGGGGCATTTAAAACCACATTGAAAGTTTTAAACGTTACGTTATGCTAAGGACAGGAACAAAGCCTTGTAAGTAACATGATTGGAATTGCATTTTAAAAAGGTGTAGAGCTGGTGTGCACATCAGATTGGGCCTCTACAAGGATGGTGGCTCTAATATTGGATAAACTGAAGAGCTATTTGGGAGGGAGACTCAACAGGAGTTTGTGATTGTTTAGATGTGGGAGGCAGGGAAAGGGAGAAAGAGGTTTCCAGAATGACTTGCAAGCATTGCTAGGCTTACTGGATAGCTGGTAGCAGTACTCGTTGCGTTAAGGGTCAAGGAATATAGAGCAGTGACGCTGCTCAGTGTTTGGATTTGAGACATCACCAGTTAAAGGTGTCAGATAGTGTATGAAAATCAAGTGAAAGATCTGAGATGGAGATAGCCATTTGGACATAAACATTACAGATCGATTCAAATTAAAGTCTTGTGAATGGATGAGCTTGCTTTGGGAGCATGTTGAGAATGAAAAGAACCCCAAGAAACAGCAACTTTATAGGTGTAAAGTTGGTAAAGGCAGAGAAGAAGAATCCATAAAGGAGCCTAGGGTTAAGCTGTAGAGTTAAGGAAACAAGTGAATGTGGTCATGAGAGGAAGAGACTATTCCAGAGAGGCAGTGTGTCACATTCTACTGAGAAGTTAAATAAGATACATGTAGACCAAAAAAAATTGGGATTTAGAAACAAGAAGCTCATTTGCAAAAGCAATTTGTATTATGTGTTGGGCGTGAAAGCCACCTTGCAAGTGGGTTGAAATGGCCCAAAGGGATGGGATCTTAAATACAGCAGAAGGTCTGGACTTAGAGGGAGAAACACCTGTTAATTATAACAAGGACAGAGGAAGGAATAGGCTTCAGTGCAAGTAATGCTTTCATAAATTTAGGCTTATATTTTCTTTGTGAAATAGGAGGTTTATTTATTTTTATGCTGGGGTGGCAGGAGATGGTAAAGACACAAGTTTGTAGACATGCTAAGGGTTTAGCCTTTGTAAGGAATGGAAAAGAAAGCCCACGTGGAGAGGAGTGTGGCCAGGCAGCATTAAAGACCCAGATGAAGTTGGCAGCCAGACTTTTGGTTGTGTGGCTCTGACAGCGTTCGGGAGACTGATAAAGGCGGAGGAGGTAGTGTAATTCATTTGAGTGTTCACCGGATTGGACTAGGTGTAAGGAACAGAGAATGGGTCAAATAATTTGAGGCTGTTGACCCAAAAACACGATTCAAGTGATTGTCTATGGAATCTAAGATGATGAGATAAGAACCGAGAGGGAGCTGGCAAGAAGAAAGTAGTGGATCAAGGGAATAGAGCTCCCTCTTAAGCTTGATAGCCAAAATGGGATTGACTGAATCAATGAGGTGGAAGGATAGGAACTTTAGATAGAGTAGGAGGTCTAGGTTTATGGGTTTCAGATAATGGCAAGCTCCAAGAGTGGGTTTGGGAGCAAATGGATTTGAGCTGAAAGTCATTGAAGTGAAGGATTTTTATGACTGAGCTTTTGCAGAGCAGGCTGTGGAAAGGACTGTCTATTTTAAGCAAAAAGATATTGTGTGGGAGGAGCATGAAAGCATGCAGTTATACAGATATATATATATCTGCATTATACAAATATCTATATTATACAGAAAATCTTGAGAGGCAATGCAATGGAGTGGTTAGTGGATAGGCTCTGAAGTTACAGGCATGGGCTCAGCCACCAATTGGGTGTAAGATTGTACACAACTTCTCCCAACTTTTTGGACCCTCATCTTCTTTATAAAATGGATGTGGTAATAGAGGATTGTTGAGAGGATCAAATAAAATGAGATAATGCTTGTACTAGTAGAGGGATAAGAGAAGAATGGTAGCTATGAAATATGGAAGACCACAAACAGGAGGTGGGCAGAGGAAAAGAAACCAGCAAAGTGGAGTGAGTGGTGAGGACAGCTAGCTGAGGGGGTTAAGAACCAGGAGGCAGGTGTCTTTGAAGGAATGAGGAAGATGGTGTAGAAACAGAAAGAAAATGATAGCTAAGGAGAGTAAAGAATCAAGATTTTGTTTGTTTGTTTTTTGTTTTAATCAAAAGCAAACAGAGGCTTGTGCATTTGTAAAGCTGAGAGAAAGGAGCCTAGTGAAAATGACAAATGAACAGGTCATTAAGGGAGCAGAGTGCCACGAGAGAAAGGAACAAATGAGACCAGCAGCACAGGTGGAGGCATTAGTTTGCCAACTTGGAAGATAATTGACATTGTGAAGGGCCCTGTGAGAGGAAATTCAAATGGGCCACCTGTCTGCTTCTTCCCACTTCAAGTTGGGTTTCCAAAGGTGCTTTTTGTGGTAGCTATGATGGTGGCAGCCATAGTCGTCTGTTCTGCATAACACAGGTTACTTTAAGGATTATGTGTTACCCAATTTCTTTCAATTAAGTCCCGGAGAAACTTATAAGATTCCAATTTTTAAAAAAATTTAAATAGTTTCATCAAATTTATGATGGGGTTAAACATTGATTTGAAAAGTTTGAGTATGTTTTCTTATCTCAGTATGTCCTTAGGCTGTTAAGATCTTAAACTAGGCTTGATAAGAATTCTACCAAGCCAATCATTCTTAAAAACGGAAACTAGTTCCCCCTGTTTTATTATCTGGGGGAGGTCATTTTCATTTTTTTTCCTCTTTAGGCAAAAATAAAACGAAGAGTCACTTGGTGCCCTGGCAAAATTAACAAAATGAAGGACTTAAACTATGTGAATGAGTTTAATATGCCAATGAATACAACAAAAAGACAAAGGAGTGATGTAACTTCAATAGGAGAAATTGATGAATGTGAGTGCTTTTTTATAAAACTATCCTTATGATGGGAGACTTTACTTATTGTATCTCAGTTAATGTGTATAATAAGACTTTTTCTATTTCCAGGTCTCTTTAAAATGATGCACTGTCATTAGACTCCATAAGACAAATATTTTTATTGTTTTTGTTCTAATCTTTATCCAATTAAATTACTATTCATATAACATCTGCCTTAAACGTTGCTAATTTTAAAAAGGTGGAATTTACACAGAAAATTTTCAAAGTTATGCCTAACACTTTAAGTATTTTTAGGGGCGTTTAAAAAATTGCTTAACAGTTATCAAATCTCAAATTCAGAATTTGTTCTTTTTACCTGTATTGTGTTAAGGTGCCTATATTTTATGATTATATTCTAGCCAGTGATCTCAATTCACAAAATAATATATACAATCACATCTGTTTTTAATGTATTCTTGGCAGTCATGCTATGAACACATAATAGCTAATTTGAACTTATTACATCTGATCAGAATTCTTTTAATAATATATACTTTGAGTTTTAGGAAACTTACCAGCATATTTATGTATAAGTTTCTTTTCCCCTAATTAACAGCTGTCTGTTCAGAGGCTGATGTTTTCAGTAACACCCTTGATACAGTAATGGATATAGAGTGGAATCCAGCAACAAAGCTACTAAGTCAGGTAACTTGAATGTATTTTACGGAACATTATACTTTTACTCTTTAAAGTCATTTGTTATTGGTGTTTACTGTTGTTATAGCACATTATGGCTCTGACTTAAGTTCAGTAACAGTGTTGGTTCTAATTAAGTCTTCTTCACTCATTAGACTCCCAACTGATAATTGTGCCATCCAGAGGGAAGCTAAACACTTTATAAAATGAGTGTATAGTAGTAGGTAAAACTTTCAGGCCATTACCAGCAGATTTTGGTACCTTTGATTTATTTTCTTCTGTTTTGCCTTGGGAAATCCCCTAAGGGTTAAAAAAAAATGGCTGATATTAAAAGTGTCAAAATTCTAAGGCCTATAGTACAATAATACATGGGGGAGGGATAATGTTGCCAAATAATAATAAAAAATAAAAGTAACTATTATATATGGTCTTATCACAACTTTAGGAATAAGGACTCCTGTAGTGAATACCTTAGTAAATGTAGATTCCATGTTTACTTCCCCAGCTTCTAATGTTCAAAGAAATAGATACAGTTCTGTATATGTATTTGTTAAAGTAATTTCATGTTAATTTTGGAATAAAATTGGAACCTTCTTGGGAGTTATTATTAGCTAACCACTGTAATTAGTCATAAATTAGTTATTATAATTAGTTAAGTATTATTGGTAAGCTTCTGTGTCCCTAAAGCATACTTCAGGAGCTTGTTGATTTTATAAAATCCTTGGTCTTAGTTTTTGGTTTTTATTGATTGTGGATTGTTGTTGTTTTTCCACTCATATTTGTTTCACCTGTGCTTATTCTCATGAGGAAGAAGGAATTAAAAACATCTTTGGGAAGGTTTAGTTAATCTGCCCATTGATGGATTTTTATGATAAAGTTTATCTCTTTATCATAAAAGTATAGAAAACAGAAGCAGGTCTCTGTTGAGGATGGCAAAAACCTAGCAGCGGTTATGAATTTTATTTTATTTTTCAGATGGATTTGAATTAGGAGTGAAACAGAGGCATTACTTATTGATCTCTAAAACTCTAACCGCTGCTAGGTTTTTGCCACTTTCAATGGAAACATTTTATCACAGATCCTTAGCTCCTTAGGAATAAAGCTGATGGATTTTCCATTATGCGCCCTATCTCCTACTCCTGATGAACTTTTCCAGACAGGCACAGGCAGAGCATTTGATTCTATGGTCTTTTTTTTTTTTTTTTATTCTACCCCTTTCAAAGTAGTCGTGTATTCTAAGTTAACTAATTTACCAAAATGCAAATCCTTTATTTTGCTGTGGATCAAGCTAAAACATTAGGATGATATTGAAAAAGAGAATGGTTTAAATTACCAAATGATTCAAGGTTAAATTTATGTGACTAATCCAAATTTTTAGTTAAATAAACAAACATATAATCTGAATTCTCTCCAGCTTGAAAATCTGGTTTTGTTTACCACAGGAAAACTTAGAAAGTGAGTTGAATTCACTTCGTGCTGATTATGATAATCTGGTATTGGACTATGAAAAACTAAGAAAAGAAAATGAAGAAATGGAATTGAAATTAAAAGAAAAGAATGATTTGGATGAATTTGAGGCTCTAGAAAGAAAAGCAGAAAAAGATCAAGAGGTAAGGATACGAAACAACACTAAACTAAAACAATGATATTTCTTTTGTAAGAAATATCATTTTCTTAAAGATATTTATTTGTAAGGTTGAGATTGAGGATCCAGCCATTTTCCATATGCATACACAATTAGAGAATTTAAGAAATAATTCATTTATTGTTTTTAAAAATAGTTAAATCATATTTATTTCACCTGTTATGCTCAAGAGGAAGAAGGAATTAAAAACATCTTTGGGAAAGTTTAGTTAATCTGTCTATTGATAGATTTGTATTGAAGAAATTTTAATATCTAGCTGAATGCTTTATGTATAGATACTACATATTAATGGAATTTTTCCATTGAAAGTGTATTCCTAAACAACATTATTAGAAAGCTGGGGAAGCTAATTTTGCACTTTTCTTTTTCCATATAAGAGAGTTATTGTGAAACTAATACTAAATAGTTTTAATGGAAATATTAGAAATAAAATAGATCACTTAAATTTTCTAAGTATATAATATTAGGCTACATGTTAAGAGAACCTAATCCAGAAACCATGAAACTTGGCGAACTTAAATTGTCCTAAAGATTCAATAAATTTCTTAGTGCAGATAGTCCTAAACAGTTCACAGAAACTGAATTCTTTTGCAGAAGTTTTGAATACATATTTATTTTTATGGAACAGAAATCCCTTGCTGGTATCAGACTTGTGAAGTGATCCACAAATACCTCCAAAAATAAGAGCCAGTGTTTTAGTATAGTTAAAATATGAGTTAATTTGCAGATACTTCTCAGATTTCTATATGAATAGCCCAAAGGGACACAGTCCTTTTCCCTCAGTATCATTGAGTAGTTTCTCATCCTCTACCTTTTTAAAAGCAAAAAGAATTCTGTACCAAAACTATTATTTCCATTCTACCTAAAATTTAAGTGACTCCTGCATTTCACAGACATTATATCCTGGGAGGCAAAAGTCAGTAAGTTCACAGTTCCATTTAATTTATTTTAAAATTTGCATATAACATAATGCAAAATGTCATGAAAAGAATATTGGGCTTCAATCAATAAAACCAGTTTTATTGAAAGGGGTATGACCTAGTGTCATGGTTAAGAGCCAAACTACCTGGTTTTAAGCCCCAGTTTTGCTGCTTAAATAGCTCACAGATTCAAGCCTCGTGTATATTATCGGCAAGTTCTTGAGCACGCCATTGCATCTCAGGGCTTACTTCATGTATATCTCCATGCTTCAGGTTAGATCAGGTGCGAATAACATGACAAAATTAACTTTGGGCATACATGATTACAAAGTAACACAGAATCTATGTCTTAAAACTCACATCTGATTTTCTTTTTTTCTTTTTAACCACCATCAGGGGGAAAATAATACAGTTCTCTTCAGTTTTACTCAAACACAAATTGAAATTCTTGGTCCGTAAGATAATCTAAAATATTACATACCAAAGGCTTACTCTGCTTGAAGATTGTTTTACGACATCCATTGCATGTTAAACTAAAAACATAAGTCTATGTGCATACAGTAAAACATGTTTCAAAATGTACATCTGGGAGGAAAGTTTAACAAAAGGGGAATGAAAGTCATATGATGGCCTGAAGATATGTGCCCTGGTTTGCCTAAGGGTTTCATCAAAAATCAACAAAGTTGTGGATAATTTTCAAGTGAGAATATAATATAGGGTGTTTAAACAGTAATTTTAGAGGGCGGAATAAACAAGGTCAAGTATCATCATACTCAGAGAACAAGAGAAACTTCAACCCTCTACCTATTTTAACTTGATCTCTTTAATTTTATAATTTTCACAACTTGGAGATTTTTGTCTTAAGAAGTTAAATTTCATTTCACCTGCTGCAAATTACAGTTGAAATCTGTACTATTTTGTAGGTAACAATGGATGATCTTTTGATCATATTGTACATTTTCTCTTTGTGCTCATTAAACAATACATCAAATAGTGGTTACACTCAGATCATTACAAAAGTCACATAATCTTTTCCTGTTCCCAGTACTTAAAATAAAGTGTTGTTTCAAATAAAAGCAGGAGAATTATTCTTGCTGAATGCTTTCAAAGTTTAAGATTGATTATTTAGTTCTGTATAAGTAAATGTGATTTTCTAATGCAAAAGTTAGAAGTGGAAGAAAAGGTAACAGATATAGCCAATTTAAACTTTAACCAATGCAATGTCTAAAACTTTGCTGAAAAAGATAGTAGCAACTAATTACATGTGGCAATTAATCACTTGAAATGGTGTTAGTCTGAATTGACTTAAGCATAGAAAAAAGAATTTAAAATATTTTCTTAATTTTTATTATTGATTACAGGAAGAAATTATAATAATATTTTGGATATATTCGGCTAGATAAAATATATTAAAATTAATTCTACCTGTTTCTTTTTACTTCTTTTTAATGTGGCTACTAGAAAAATTAATTACAAATGTTGCCTCCAAAAAAAAATTGGGAGAGATTGCATTATATTTCTATCGATTGGTGCTAATCTAAAATAACTAGCAGTAGTCTGAAATCTAAAACTAGGACTGAATTAAATTTAAAAAAAATTTTATTTTACCTTTTTAGCACAAAAATTGCCAGTACTCAAATAGTTAATACTACAAATGTTTCGATAGAAAGGAAACTTTAATAGAAATACTTACATCTATAAGTATTTATACTTTAGACAGTTGAACACTATAAAGCAAAAACATTAACTTTCCAATATTTCCTATAAACCATCAAAGTAACAGTTGATAATTCCAAGCAAATCTCTATAGCTTTGGTGAACAGTAATAATATTGTAAAGGCTTTATGAAACTTCTATAATCCAAACCTAAATTTCAAATCACAACTCATTGAAAAGTATGCCAGTGTAAAACCAAATAGATAATTTATGATAAGAAAAGAAATCTTTTAGGATAAATACATTTCTGTACTTACCCAAAACAAAAGCCTAATAGAAGCATGTTTTTGTAAAGTTTGATTACTACTTTATTTTCTCCAAGTGGTGCATACTAATTTGCTTTTGAAGTTATTGTAGCTTTATTAACAGAGGACAAACCTGTTATTTGGGTCATGCCGAGTTTCTTTTTCTTGTTTGCTTGCTTCCTGGGGTTTGCAGAGATTTTGTTTGGTTGATTGGTCTTGGGGTTTGATTTGGGGCTTTTTTGGTACTTTTAAATAATGAGATGCTCTGTTACTGTAGCTTGAACAGTTATCTCTCAGTCTCTTCTTACTTATTGGGTGATTCTGAAGCAGTGATTCAATTTTTTTTTTTTTTTTTTGCTTTATTAACTATTGGTTTGCTCTGTTGCCTGTTCACATGCTCTTACAGATGCAACTAATTCATGAAATTTCGAACTTAAAGAATTTAGTTAAGCATGCAGAAGTATATAATCAAGACCTTGAGGTGAGCATTTATGTTCATATTTCTACTAATAAGGAACTAGAACTATAAAACAAATCATACATAATTGAATATGATTTATGATTTCAGAAAATAAATTATATTTCTTAAGTGTCAACTTTTTGAATTTTACTGTTTACCAATTTGAACTGTTAAAAAGTTCCTTGTAATCCCCTAGAATGCAAATCCAATTAAATTGTTTTACTCTCCTTTGATTTCTTTTAGAATGAACTAAGTTCAAAAGTAGATCTGCTTAGAGAAAAAGAAGACCAGATTAAAAAGTTACAGAAATACATAGACTCTCAGAATTCAGAAAGTGTGAAAATGGACTTGTCATACTCACCGGTAAAAATCAGGTTTATTTTATTATGCAATAATGTTAATATTTATAGCATACCTTCATCATCATCATTAAAGCAAATGCTTATATTGAGCCAACTATGTGCTGAGCATTGTAATGTTTTACATACAGTATTTTATTTAATCTTGTCAATAACCCTATGAGAGAGGGACTATATTAGGAACATTGCCATTTTTACCAATAAGGAACCATTCATAAAGAGTTGAGGATATCATCCTTTGAGTGAATATAAACAAGTAGGTTATGAACTTCCATTAAAAAATTAGTTATTTAAAAATGTTTTAAATTTTTTTTATTTAAAAAAAGAAGTGTGTAGTCAATGTCTTCAGGTGAGCACTTACATTGTTGATAAATATCTAGAACTAAAACATAAATGAGCATGTTTTCATAAATGTCATTAATTTCACTGATATTAATGCATTCTCATAATTTAAGTAACTATTTTTAACAGTTTGAGTATTTTTCAGAAAATATTGTTCTAGATGACTTTATTTGATACTAGATTGTGGTATTAAGTAACATTGACATGGTGAAATTTTGATTTTTTTATTTATTTGCTACCAATACACCTGACTACTTCAAGAAAGTTAACAATTTCTAGCTTGAAATTTTTATATCTTGGTTTCTGTTCTATTGGTTTTGTTTTGAGTTTTTCATAGTAATCTTTGTTACCTTCTATTAATGACAGATGATTCTTTTTAAAAGTATTCTCACCTGGCCTGCATGGCTCAGTGGTTGAGCGTCGACCTATGAACCAGGAGGTCACAGTTCAATTCCCTGTCAGGGCACATACCCAGATTGCAGGCTCCATCCCCAGTGTGAGGTGTGCAAGGGACAGCCAATCATTGATTCTCTCTCATCATTGTTTCTATCTCTCCCTCCCTTCCTCTTTGAAATCAATAAAAAAATATATACTAGTATTTTTAAAAAGTATTCTCACTGTTCTGAGCTGTGGGTAAGAAAGGTGCTTTCATATAATACTGGAGAGTAGGATTGATACAGTAGCAAGCAGAATTGCCAGTTTTTAAAAAAATTATTTCTTACGCTTTATTCATTCACGGGTGCATTATTATTTTTCCAGGTACATATGGTTGAATTTATGTAAGCTAAAGTCATGTTAAAATGTCACTTTTCTCTGAACATGACTTCTGATTTTTTTTTCATATATTTATGTCATTTGCATTTTCCCTTCACTAAGTTACCTGTTTGTATCTTTTCTCTATTTTCCTATTGGATAATTTTCTTTTCAAGTGGTAATTTATTTTTTTTAAATAATCCTCACCTGAGGATATATATAGAGAGAGGAAGGGGAGGAGAGACAGAGACAGAGAAACATTGATGTGAGAAAGAAACAGCTATCTGTTGCCTCCGATATGCCCCAACCAGAGATCGAACCCGAAACCAGGGTATTTGCCCTGACCAGGAATCAAACCTGAAACCTTTTGGTGTATAGGACAACACTCCAACCACCTGAGCCACCTGGCCAAGGCTAATTTAATATTCTTAATCTTAATTATTAACTACTAGCCTATCATGTTTGGGAGAGAATAACAAAATAAAAATACATAGAGAACTTTTTAGCATGCTAGCTGAACAAAAGTGTGCTAACGTTTTCCAATTCTGAGAAAGTTAGATTTCACTAAAATCTTTTTTGTCATATGTATAGGAAGACAGTGACGATCTAAAACAAAAGAAACAAACTCTGCTTGATGCTGAAATTATAGCCCTTGATGCCAAGAGAGAATCAGCCTTTCTTAGGAGTGAAAATCTGGAGCTGAAAGAGAAAATGGTAGGTGATTTTTGTAATATTTTCAAAATTGAGCACTTGTAATGATCAGTACATTTTTGTAAATTTGCAATGTTTCTCTTAATAGAAAGAACTTGAAAGTATGTGCAAGCAAATGGAAAGTGATAATCAGTTACATCAAAGCCGGTTGGAGGCAAAAAAGAAAATACAAGTTGATCTGGAGAAAGAATTACAATATTCTTTTAATGAAATAACAAAACTCAACTCCCTTTTAGATGGCAAAGTTCCAAAAGGTATCTTGAAATTTCAGGCTACCTCTTTGCAAATCTAACTTTCTGTTGAAATGTACCTAAAGGATTTTGCAACAATATTCCAATGATTGGAAATCCGTTATTCTCTGATTTTTAATAACTTAATATTAACTTTCAATATTATATGTATCAGTATGTATAAGTGTTTCCATGGACTTCAGATCATAAGGGTTAAAAATTGTACATGTTCTTAAAAAGGTGATTCAAGAAATATTAATATGTATGGTGATGGATAGAATTTTGGGGGACAATTTATTTAATTTACCAAAAATTTTCTAGATTTGCTCTGTAATTTGGAATTGGAAAGAAAGATTACAGATCTCCAGAAAGAACTGAAGAAAGAAGTTGAAGTAAATGAAACTTTGCATGAAAAAGTTAATTTGCTCTCAGAATTGAAATCTTTACCTTCAGAAGTAGAAATGCTAAGGAAAGAGGTAAACACATTTTTAAGGAAATAACTCTTATTTTGATGGTAAAGTTAAACAAGAAAATACACTTAAAAGAGACAAAAAAAAATTGCCTTTTCTCGGTCAGATCTTTGCTCAATTTTCAGTGTCTTTTTGTAGAAAAAGTTTTTTGTGTTTCTGTTTTTCTGAAAATTTCAGTAGATCATACATTATTAACAATGCTAAGTATTCTTTTTTTCATAGGTAAATGATAAGTCTGAAGAGCTATATCTAATAACATCAGAGAAAGACAAATTGTGTTCTGAAGTAGTTCATAAGGAGAGTAGAATTCAAGATTTACTTGAAGAAATTAAGAAAACTAAAGATGACCTTGCAATCACCCAGTTGAATTATAAAAACATGGATCAAGAATTCCAAGATTTTAAAAATTATCATATTGAATTTGAACAGAAGTATGACATGGTCCTTGAAGAGAATACAAGAATAAATCAGGAAATAGAAAATCTCTCTAAAGAATCTCAAAAACTTGGTTTAACTTTGGATGACTTAAAGACAGAGGTTGGTATAAGATACCCGCTAGAGAAATGATCTTTAGTCTGCTGCAGTTTGGTTCCATATATATGCCATAGAATGTTCTGCTTTTCACACTTTGTCTTATTTTAAAGCTTTCTCAGAAAACCCAAGAACTTCAGCAAAGTCAAGAAAGGTTCATTGAAGTGGAACAGCTGAAGGAACAATTACAAAGTAAAGATTCCAGGCTGCAAACTATAGAAAGGGAGAAAATACTGACTACTGAGAAGCTTCACCAAACCTTAGAAGAAGTAAGGATCTTAACCCAAGAAAAGGATGACTTAAAACAACTCCAAGAGAGCCTGCAAGTTGAGAGAGACCAGCTGAAAAGTGACATTGAGGATACTGTAAACATGGTAAGGTTTTGACTGGTTAAATGTTGAAAACTTGGAACATCTTTAAAAACATTATCGGAGCCATCATTTATTATTTATCATCAAGTAGAAACTATAAAATTATTTTTATTGTTTCACCTTATTCTAATGGAAATGGTTTTGTATTTCTCTGACAAAGAACATAGACACCCAAGAACAATTACGAAATGCTCTTGAATCTTTGAAACAACACCAAGAAACTATCAATACGCTAAAAATGAAAATTTCCGAGGAAAGCTCCAAGAATTTGCCTGTAGAGAAAACCATAAAAGAAACTAAGGATGAATTTCAGGAAGAGGTAAAGAGTTCCTGTTCAAAATTTTCATATATTTACATATGAGCTTTCTTCTTAACCTCAAACACTTAAGTACATGACAGTAATCTCAATCTTATTTATTACTCACAGTGTAATAACTAACAATAATTCATAAACTTCATCCTAATAGCTTTGGAATAATTTCAGATATAACTGCTTACAATCAATTTGGAAAATTGCAAAAAATATTAGTTCACTTTTTTTTTTTTTAACGTCCCTGACTGGAATTGAACCTGGGACCCTTCGTTCACAGGCCAATGCTCTATCCACTGAACAAAACCAGCTAGGGCCATTAGTTCACACTTTGAGCTGATATTTTATTTTACATCAGATTTTTATACTAAACTTCTTTAGAGTTTACTATAAAATCAATGTGTATATCATATATATGCCTATTTCTAGTTCTTCAGCCATAATTTTACTAGTAGGTGCTTAAGTCTTACCTTACTCATTCTAGGCAGTATGGTTTGTTTTTTCCTGAGGCCTTATGAGAATAACTGCTTTACCGGTTAACTAATACACAAGAAAAGTTAGGATGGTAATGATGATTTTTTTAAAAAAAGAGGTGTATTATAGTGTGCTAAAGCTGCCCTAACAAAATATCATAGACTGGGTGGCTAAAACAAAAGAAATTTATTTTCTCCTAGTTGTGGTCTAGAAGGCCAAGATCAAGGCACCTGAAAATTCTGTTTATGGAGAGGCCTTTCTTTCTAGAAAGTAGATGATATATTTTTCTGCGTCTTTACAAGTCCTTTCTTCTGTGCACTAGAGCTGAGAAAGTGTCTGATATCTCTGCCTCTTTTTTAAGGGCACTAATCCTATGGGACCAGGGCCTACCCTTATGACCTCATTTAACCTGAATTGCCCTCTTTAAATACCCTGTCTGCAATAGTTATATTGGGGGTTAGGGCTTCAACAAATTTTGTGAGGACAAAATTCAGTCTATAATGAAGTAATTGGAAACAACTAAAAATTACTCGTAAATACTTAAAACTATAGAAAATGAAAGTTTTAGAGAAAACAGCTTTTTTCATAAATATTCAGAATTATTTTTTAAAAGCAATATTTTATTATATAAAAGATGAAGCCAAAACTACTTTTTTCCCCCTTCTTTAAATCTATTCCTTCAGCATCTCATAAGGCACTACTGTCTTCCTCATTGATTCAGTAAGAAATAAATTTATTCTCCATTCTGAGCCCAGTCAATCTTTTCTTCTTAAAACCCTTTGATGACACATTGTTACTCTTGACATCAAGGCCGGAATCCTTCGTAAGGCAGAGAATTCCCAGACCTTGCTGGTCTCTAGCATTATTTCAGTTCTCTTGTCGTCCTGCTCATTGTACTCCAGCAACTCTAGTCCATCGTTCTTCCTCATCTCATGGCTTTCAGATGGTCTCCCTACCTGCAGCATTACCACACCGACTCCCCCACTTCATAAACACTCACCATAGGTTAAGTGTGCCACTAATACTCTAGGAGAAGCAGTACTTCTGTTTGGTAAGATTTGAATTAATGTCTACTTTTCCCCTAAAGTGTCTCAAAATGGCAGAGATCCTGTAAATCTCATTCCCGTTTTATCTCCAACCTCCAGTAGTACACTAACATCACAGCGAGCCCTCCATAAATAAGTGCTAAATACCCGCATAATGGAGGAGCAGGGAAGTGGGAGAATTGCTCTGTAAAGGAACCATTAAATCCTGTCTTAATTGTTTTAGAAAATTTCCTGACTTCTTTTCCCCTAAAATAAAGTATCTTTGGATATCAACTGTACTGTTTTATGATTCTCTTAAGATCCAAGAGGCTCAAGACATACCAGAACAGTCCTTTAATATGCAGGAAAAAGACAATGAGATTAAGAAAATAATCAGTGAAATGGAGCAACTGAAGGAGCAACTCAAAGCTAAAGAGTCAGCACTGCTAAGATTAGAAAAGGAAAAACTCAAGTTGTCGGAGAGACTTCAAGAAAGTCATCAGGAAATGAAATCGATAGCGACGGAGAGAGATGACCTACAGAGGCTGCAGGAAGCTCTTCAGGCTCAAAGTGACCAACTCAAAGAAAACATGAGAGAACTCACAGCTAAGGTAGGTTACATTCTTTTCCGTGTGTGTGTGTGTGTGTGTGTGTGTGTGTGTGTGTGTGTGTGTGTTTTAACTAATTTGTAAGCAGATATTTTTGTGGAAAATAAACCTTTGGAAAAAGGAATCAGAGTGTAATGGTTATAATGTTTCTATAAATTTCTTACAATTTCCTCTATTAATAAAGCACCTAGAAACTGAAGAGGAACTTAAAGTTGCTCATTGTCGCCTGGAAGAACAGGAGGAAACTATTGATAAGCTGAGAGTGAATCTTTCAGAGAGAGAAACTGAACTATCAAGCTTTCAAAAGGAATTAGAAACAAGCAATGATGAATTACAGAAAAAGGTAAATTGGGCATGAAGGGACAGTGGGGAAAAAAACCTGAGGGAGGTAGCTAACCGAATTGCAAATACTTACTTTTTACACACTAAATTGTTTTGGCGAGCATACTGGATTTTTTACCTAAAAAAAATAAAAATAAAAAATACACACACACACACACATACACACACACACACAACATACACATACAAGGGTGGGTAAAAGTACATTTACAGTTGTTCAGATGGAAAGACGTACTGGTTATAAGTATTACAAACAAAGAATAAACTGCTTTGTGTACTCGCAACTATAAACCTACTTTTGCCCATATATATATATGTGTATATATATATATATATATATGTATATATATATATATCTCACATAAAAACACAACATACATACATGTATGTACAAATGCACACATATAAAAACATTTTATGCATTTGTATATATATATATATTTTTGGCTATTATTATTATTTTAAGATGCAAGAGCTTCATGAAAAACAGGAACAATTTATTTGCGTCAAAGAAATCAGTGAGACTCAGGAAAAAATGAGTGAACTGGAACAATTAAGGGAGCAACTCAAAGCCAAAGATTCATCACTAGAAAGCACGGAAAGGGAGAGGCTCAAGTTAACTGAGAGACTTCAGAAAAGTGAAGAAGAAATAAACATTATAATTAAAGAAAGAGATGAACTGAAAGGTGTGCAAGAGGCCCTTCAAATGGAGAGAGACCAACTCAAAGAAAACATTAAAGAACTTGTAGCTGAAGTAAGTTTCCCTCTTCTGATGTTTTTGGGAACACAAATAGTTTTAAGGTGATAGCAATGCTCACTATTAACTTCTATTCACTGTTAACTTTTATTCATTTTGCTCCAATCATAGAGACAGAAAATCAAAGAGGAACTACAAACTACTTACATTCTTCTAAAGGAGTACCAAGAAACTATTAGTTCAAGGAATATTTCAAAGACGACAGATCAAGGAGCAAATATCCAGAGAGATTTAGAAAATTCAGATGCTGAATTATGGGGAAAGGTAGGTCTTGTTAAGTGTGAAAATGACATCAGATTATTGTGCTCCTCATGTTCCTGAGGAAAAAAAGAGTACATACATTAAACTAAATGTAAAAATGATTGACTTAATTTAGAAACAAATCTTTGTTCTAAAAACCTGCCTTTGCCCTCACTTGTTTTATGATTTTCTCAGATTCAAGAATTTCCGGAAAAAGAACATCAGCTTCTTGAGATGAAAGCTGTAAATGAGACTGAGGAGACAATGTGTGAAATAGAATACTTGAAGAAGCAATTTGAAACCCAAAAGTCAACTGTGGAAAACCTAGAAATAGAGAACATAAGGTTAACTCAGAGACTCCAGGACAACCTTGAAGAAATGAGATCTGTTACAAAAGAAAGAGATGACCTTAGGAGTATGGAGGAGACTCTCAAAGTAGAGAGAGACCAGCTCAAGGAAAACGTAAGAGAAACTGCAATTAGAGTGAGATACCATCTTTTCCCCATCTAGTAAAAATGACACTGTGTCTCAAAAGAACCATAAGCAGTAGAGCTGGTGGGAGTGTAAAACTGGTCCAGCCTTAAAAGGTTGAAGGAGGAAGAGGGAGTGTATTTGGTAATATCTTCCAAATATTTTAGTAAGTTTATCCATTTACCCAAAATGTTCAGTTGTAGCTATTTACCCTGCATACATTAGCGCAACCATGCAAAGATATTTGTAGAAGGATTCGTAGCAGCAAGTTGCATTAACAAAATAAAGCAAACAAAAAAAATAGGGAAAATTCTAACTATCTGTTAGTAGGAGACTGGTTAAATAAGTGCAGCACATTCAGACCATGGGATGCGAGACCACAGATAAAGAATGAGGTGGAGCTATGGTGTTGACTTGGAAGTATCTGGTAGGGGAAATTGTAAAGTAGTATATGTAGCTTGTATTAGCACCTGAGAGTCAATTGGAGGATGAGAACTAGGAGGTATAAGGAGGGAGAGGAAATTTTACTTCTTACTCTGTACTTTTGTGCATATGGTCTCAATTGCGTTCATCTGAATATATTATTTTTGTTTCTCTAATAAAGGACCTGGAAAGACAAGAGGAACTAAGAATTGCCCACAAACATCTGAAGGAGCATGAGGAAATTATTGATGAACTCCGAAGGATTGTCTCTGAGAAAACAAATGAAATATCAAATATGCAAATGGATTTAGAAAACAAAAATAGTGCCTTAAAAGCACAGGTATTTCTTTTAAGTTCTTACCTAAGTAACAGTTTTAATCAAGTCTTTTGTGTAGTGAAACAAGATATGAATTAGCCTAAAATTGAGGACAAGTAGAGATTTTGTCTGCATAATTTAGAAACGAATGTTTAGCTTTTGTTATCTGTTTATATCTGAATTTATTCTATGATTATTTCAAGATCCAAGAAGTTCAGGAGAAAGAACATCATCTTCTTGAGGTAAAAAATGATCTCAAGGAAACTATGTATCAAACAGAGCAATTAAAGAAGCAATTGGAGGCCCAGAATTCAATCTTGGAAAATACAGAAACAGAGAAATTAAGGTTGACTCAGAAACTTCATGAAAACCTTGAAGAAATAAAATGTGTTACTCAGGAAAGAGATAGCCTAAGGAGAATGGAGGGAACCCTCAAAATGGAGCGAGACCAGCTCAGAGAAAGCCTCAGAGAAGCAGAAGCTAAAGTAAGTTACACTCATACCTCTTCCTAGTGAGGAAATGTGAGCCCTTCTTTGATAGAAACATATACAAAGCACACATAAACCACAAGGTTGTTCATTGTAACAGTGTGTAACAGAAAATGGGAAACAACCAAAATGTCAATCAGGAGGAAACTGGGTAAAGATAAGCAATGTGTCAAGAATATTATACAACAGGTAAAAAGAAAAAAAATTCAATAGATTTGAGTGTCCTAATTGGGAATCCCAAAATAACTCTCAGTGAGAAAAGCAGGTTGTAAAATAGTGTGTGCATAATGTGTTTGCCTCTGGAAAGAAGAGGTTTGTGGGGAAGGGGGGGAACGGAAGAGGGAAAAACTTTTAACTTTCTAACAAAAATGTAGAGTAAGAATTAGAGTTCTGTTATTTTTACTAAGAAAATATATTACTTCATTTAAAAATACTAGTTACCTTGCCTAGCTGTGTGGCTCAACGGTTGAGTGTTGACCTATGAACCAGGAGTTCACGGTTTGATTCCCCATCAGGGCATATGCCCAGGTTGTGGGCTCGATCTCCAGTAGAGGCTGTGCAGGAGGCAGCTGATCAGTGATCTCGTCATTGATGTTTCTATCTGTCTCTCCCTCTTCCTTCCTCTCTAAAATCAATAAAAATATATATTTAAAAAAAATACTAGTTAGAGAAGGAAGTAATAGTTTTATTATTTTTACTAAGAAAATATAGTACTTTCATTAAAAATAATACCAGTTAACATTAACATATGTCACTGTTCTTAAAATTTCTTTAATGATAAAGAATCTGGTGGGGCAGGGGGAGAGGAGATGGGTATAGAAAGAGGAGCTAAGAATTGCTCACATGCATCTGAAGAAGCACCGGGCAGGGGTTGTTTCTGAGAAGACAGATGAAATGTCAAATATGCAAATGGTTTTAGAAAATTTAAACACTATATTATAAGAAAAGATATATGGGGGGAGGGCTTTGATTAAATATCTGATTTATTTTTGCCTAAAATACATTGGGAATGTAAAATGGTTTAGCCACTTTGGAAAACAGCTTGGCAGTTTTTACTAACACCAAACATATACCGGCCTGTGACCCAGTATTTCTACTTGGTTATGTACCTAAAAGAAAAATGTACATACTTCAACATAAAGATATGTACAAGAATGTTCTTAGTAGCTCTAATCATAATAGGGAAAAACTGAAAATAATGCAAATGTCTATCAAAAGAATTGTAATTTATAAGATCAAAAGCAGGCAAAACTCATCTAGGATGAGAAAAGTCAGAATAATGATTATAGGATGGGATACATAGGAACTTGAGGATGGCTGCTTTAGAAAGGTTCTATATTTTAATCTGGGTTGTAAGTACATAAATGTTAAGAATAATTGATCTGTATATACACTTAAAAATAGATCACTTATTTATTTATACCTCAAAAGAAAATAATTTCCGGGTGGAATTATGTATTCATTAAAGCAACATGGGAAAACGGTTGTCTAAATCAATTTAGAAACTTCTTTATCCTTTCCTTAAAAACCAACTGTCTGCTCACATGTTATTTTATGATCATCTTAAGATCCAAGAACTTAGGGCAAATGAACATCAACTCTTGAAGTTAAAAGAAGACTTCAGTGAGACACAGAAGAAAATGTCTGAAATGGAGCAATTAAAGAAACAGTTCGAAACCCAAAGTTTAACTCTGGATAAAATAGAAATGGAGAACTTAAATTTGGCTCAGAAGCTTCATGAAAACCTTGAAGAAATGAAATCTGTAATGAAAGAAAGAGATCATCTAAGGAGAGTAGAAGAGACTCTCAAACTGGAAAGAGACCAACTCAAGGCAAATCTACAAGAAACCATAGTTAGAGTAAGTTGTGCTCCTTTCTATCCAGTAAACATGTTTTTAATATAAGAGGCTCCATTATTTGAAAATAAATGATACTGTTGGTAATCTTTTAGGAAATGTTATAATCTTTTAAGAAGACAGTTTGATAATATCTTATTAAAAATTTATCAGCATATGCATTTGCTACAGCAATTCCATGCCTATGAATTTAACCTATCAGTATGTTCACACATTTGGGGCAGAAATACAGCAAAACTTACTGCAACATTGTAATCCAAATGTCCACCCATAAGACACTGGCTAAATGGAGCTCATCTGTGTAATGGAATACTAAGCATAAGAACAGGGCATGTGATAGTGATTTAGAGAGATGTCCAAATGATATGAAAGGTGAGAGGTAAGTGGCAGAGTTTATCAGGGAACAGGACTGGGATAGGTGGAACTTTTGCTTTAGATCCTTCTGCACTATTCTAATGTAGTGGTAGAATGGTGGTGGTTTTTAATGACAAGCATGCATTTTTTAAAGATTTTGTTTAACCAGTTCATTAAGAAAAAGTAATGTTTTTTTATGTCATCATTTCTCAATTCTAATAATAAAGGATCTGGAAACACAAAAGGAACTAAAAATTGCTCGTATTCATTTGAAAGAGCACCAAGAAACAATTGATAAATTCAGAGAAAGTGTTTCAGAGAAAACAACTCAGATCTCAAATATTCAAAAGGATTTTAATAAATCAAAAGATGATTTACAGATAAAGGTATGTGTTGTTTTGTTCTTTTGGGCGTGTCCAAAATTATTTGTGAAATAAGAGGATATAGATACAGATATGTAGACATAGCTATATATATATATATATGTACATGTGTACATATATAACAAATAGACACTAGTTTCCTTCCTTTAAGGGACTCTCATTGCATTCTAACTTGTTTTATAATTATCTCAAGATCCAAGAACTTCATAAAAAAGATATTCAACTTCTTAAAATGCAAGAAGATGTCAATAAAAGTCATAAAAAAGTGAATGAAATGGAACAATTGAAGAAACAATTTGAGGCTCAAAATTTATCTATGCTAAGTTTGGAAATGGATAACTTACACTTGACTAAGAAACTTCATGAAAGCCTTGAAGAAATAAGAATTGTAGCTAAGGAAAGAGATGAGCTAAGGAAGATAAAAGAGTCTCTCAAAATGGAAAGAGACCAATGCAGAGAAACCTTAAGAAAAATGATAGCTAGAGTGAGTTCAGAATCTTCCCCTATCTAGTAACTATTTTTAAGAATCAAGCTTTTTTGAAAAGGGTGACAATGGTTTGTTTTGTTGTTGTTTTTCTCCAAATGTCTACAAACAGTAAAGGGTAATGGGGAAACTATTACTATCATTTCTCACACAAATAAGAAATACAGGGTTTTTCTTAAAGCCAAAATGTTTTTTAAAGGGTTTCAAAACAGAGAAATAGTATTATTCTCAATTTGCAGGATTATATTTGTAAAAGATTAAATATTCCATTTCACTACTTCTACATGATAAGAGTTTTAGACATGGCTCTTGTTAACAAAGTTAGAAGGGAAAAGGTTAGACAAGATGAATACCAAAAGAAAAAAATGAAGTTGTTCTAGTATGACTTTTTAAATTGAATATCAGAAAACAAAATTCAGATAAGAAAATGTATGAAATCTGTAAAGAATCAAGTGGAAAACAACATCATTTGTAATCTCAATAAAATATCAGACACTTGGGAATCATCTTTATCTGACCTAACTAAATGTATAGAGATTTAAATCACTCAAAGTATTTTATTGAACAATTAGTTATTCTTTTAGGTCCTATAATATATAAGATAAACAGATGGGAGAAAATATTTTGTTTTATACAGAAATTCAAAGTGTAAACAGGATATGAGTTTTCTGCTTCCAGGTGCTGGGAGGAATGTATTCGTAGGGCTTGGAACACTGTAGATAGTACAGATGTGTTTGCTAGTGTGTTTAGTTGGCAGCAGTGATTTTGATTCAGACATTTGGAGGAATTGGAACCAGAGATAAATCTAAAACCTAACTTGCAACTATGAATATTAGAAGAACAAATTCTATCTCTAAAAAGTATGTGGTTCTCCCATTTTTTCCCCCAATGAGTTGAGGCCACTCATTACAAGACTTAGTAGTGCTATTATTCATTTTCTGACCATTTTTAACATTGCTTTTGAACTACAGGTATAATATTTAATTCCATTATTGAACCTTGATATATAATACATAATTGAAAAAGTATGTGTAGACATTTCCTATGAATGTAGTTATAGTTGACACCTTATTTATTTCTTTGTGTCAAAGCAGGACCAACAGAACCACAAAGAAGTAGTAAAACATGAAAAAAAGTTACTGTGTGATGAAAAAGAGCACCCTACAGAAAGCCTGAGAGAAAAGTGCTTTAGGATAAAAGTAAGTGCCCCCTGTTTAAATTACAAAGGATTATTTGTACCCTTCAGAGGTCTATAGCAGCAATTTTCAAACAGTGTGCAGCAAGAATTTTTAAAAACATGCAATACCTGTCCTGGTTGGATAGTTCAGTTGATTAGAGCGTTGTCCCGATATGCCAAGGTTGCAGGTTCGATCCCCGGTCAGGACACATGCAAGAATCAACCAGTGAATGCATAAACAAGTGGAACAATAAATCGATCTTTCTCTCTCTCTACTTACCCTCCTCCTCCCCACCTCAATCTCTCTCTGTCTCCCCCTTCCTCTCTCTCTCTAAAATCAGGTGTGTGTGTGTGTGTGTGTGTGTGTGTGTGTGTGTATGTTTTTGTTTTGTTTTTTAATTTTTAAACACGTAATACCTGACTAGTCAGGGGCACTGACCTCTTTCCCCTTAGATTGTCAAATAAAAAAATGACAACAGCCAGCACAACAATCAGTTGTGAATGAATCAAAAGTATACCTTTATTGTTGTTTTTGTTGCTAGATTGGCAAAAAATATACTTTAGGGTGAGCCGTAGAATTTTAATAGTTTATGTGTGCCATGAGATGAAAAAGGTTGAAAATTGTTTGTGGATTCAAGGGAACCTCTGTGGAATGAAAAGATAATGGTCTATATGTTCCTAAACTTTCTAGTGCAGGTATGTAGGTGTGCATATACTAGTATACATGTTATAAACAAACCAGTGGGGGCTTGCGGTTTAAGGCCTCACTGGAAAGGTGACATTTGAGTAAATACCTGAAAGAGGTGAAGGATTGAACCATCCAGGTAACTGCTGAACCAGAGTATAGGCAGGAGGAACAGCAAGTACAAAGCTCCTGTGAAGAGGCTGCCATGTGGATCCCAGGAACATCACGAAGACAGAAAGCTAGTAAGAAATGACGTCGGAGAGTTAATGGGGAAGAGGCAGGCTGTTGGGCTTTAAAAAAACTGCATTTTACTCTGAGTCGAGATGGAGATCCATTGCAGACTTTGACCACATGAGAGACATGATCTGACTTACATTTTAAGGGGTGACTCACTGCTGTGTTGAACATAGAGTGGAAGCGGGAAGACCATTTGTAACACAGACAGATAGTGGCTTGGACCAGAGATGTAGAAATGGAAGTAGTGAGGAGTGTTTGGAGTCTGTATATTGAGGGTAAAACCAACAATATTTTCCATTGCTCCTATTAGAATGCAAGATCACTGAAGACTTATTTTGTGTTTAGCACATCCCTAATGGGAGTCAACATTCAATATGTATCTTTCTCTCTCTCTCTCTCTCTCTCTCTCTCTCTCTCTCACTCTCTTATGTTGTTATTGTTGTTGTTGTTCTCTCAGTTCTTTGTACTGTTTTCTCTGTTCTTTCTGGGGTTTTCTTTTTTGTCTTTGTTCTTTGTTTCCCCTTAGTTTTTTTGTTCTCTCTTTTCCCTCTTTTCGCTGTGTTCTTTCTGATTTTCTGTTTCTTATATTTTCACTTTCTCTCAATTTTCTCTTTTCTCTCTCCTTAGTCACTTGTTTTATCTGCTACCTCACGCTGCCATTGTAAACATGAGCCAGCATTCAGCCTTGAGCTACAATATATACTACATTGAATTCACTTAAATTTCTCCTCAGACTTTGTAAATGCTCATTCAAATCATGAATGTTCAGAAGACTAAAAGAAAATATCAAATGTTAAAAATGGTTAATTCCAATTTTCTTTGTTGTATTTGCTTAAAATTTTTATTTTCACAATAATTGTGTATTATTTCTATAATCCAAAATCAATAATATCAGTTTCCTTTTGTTGTTTTTTAATCACAGTGGTTTTAATTTATTACTCTCCTACAGAAAATATAAAAGCATAAGTTTTGTTATAATTCTAAGGCTAGAACTACTTATTGTTAAATTAGAATCATTTGTTAAGTTGAATGAATTCTAATTTTCTTTAGGAGCTTCTGAAGAGATACTCAGAGATGGATAACCATTATGAATTCTTACATAGATTGTCTCTTGACTTGGAGAAGGAGATTGAAACCCAAAAACAGCTTTCAGTTAAAATAAAAGCAAACCTCTCACTTCCATATCAACAAACCAAAGAGATTCAAAAACTTCTCACTGTAAACCAAAGGTGTTCCATGGAATTCCACAGAGTCATGAAGAATCTAAAGGTAACACCTTTTTAGTAATATCTTTGTAAATATTTCTATAAATTTTGGTTATAAACTTCATTGTATTTAAGTCCAACTTTGCAAGTTGACACATTTGCTTCTTAGTATATGTACTTCTGTCTGAATTAAAGATTACATGGGTCTAAGAATAGTGTGCAAGATTCTCAGTGCACCAGAACCTGGTCATTCAATAAAACCTGAACTCTGCCTATGGGCCCAGACACAGGTATGAATAACATCTCAAATATTTCATAGTCTAATGGGTGAGGCAGATATATAGACAGATAATAGTAAGTGCAATGATAGAAGTATGTGCAGGTTATAGGACATACTAGGAAAAAAGTTAAAGAAGATAAGACCGTAGTGGAAGACAGACTCATTCAATGAAGCTGGGATGGAGTTCATTTTGCAGATAATGGGGAGCCACTGGAAAGTTATTTTAAGTGGGGGCAGTAATGTGATTAGATTGCGATTTTAGATACTTCACTCTAAATAAAGAAGATATGAGTTTGCAGGGGAAAAGCCTAGTGGCAGAAAGAAGAGCCAAGAAGCAATTGTCCTGATGGGATATTATGGGTGACTGAACTACTAGTGAAGGATTCTATAGGGATAGAAGAGATGAAATAAATTAAATATTTAGCAGTTTAAAATCAAGGTCTGTTTGATAGTGGAGGTAGGGAGAAAAGTTGAGATTGCATCCCAGGATTTGAGTTTAGCCAAGTTTGTGAGTAGTGGAAAGAGGAGTGGGGTGAGGCAGGAAAGGAAGATCAGGTGTTTACTTTAAGATGTTTTGAGGTAGAAATACCTATCGGGACATTCAAGAAGAGAAACTCACTAGGCGTTGTCAACCAGTGGTCAGTGGTGCCAATTCAGTGCCAATGGAATCCCAGTTTGGGGTGTGGTGAAGAAGGAAAGTTTATTCAGTGCAAAACAGCTCAATTGTGATACAGCATAGCTGTGAAAACAGCAGAGCTATAGAACAGATCTGGGGCCAGACCCCTCTCCAGCTAGACAGCTCTGCTCTGTTCCACGCTGTTCCACCCTGCATTGTGTTGGTCTGCTCCACTCTGCTCTAGCAAGACATCTTCAGTGTTTCACCTCAGCCAGGGAGATGCAGACATCAGGCTTCCGTGGAAAGGGAAAGTACTCTCTCAGAGCCAGCGAAGAGTTGGCTTACATGGGCAGAAGTTCCCACCCCTGTCTCATGCCAGTGAGGACTCCAAATCCTCACAGTTTGATTGGTCCAAAAGGCACTTTCCTAATTGGTTAGAATAGAACCACTCTGAATGAAGCTACACAGCTGATAGGGAAAGCCTCAGTCCTTTTGGTTGAAATGGGATTCCAGGAACTCCTTTATAAGGGCTGGCTCAGATGGCTGAAACAGTGCAGAAACAGGCAGTGCAATGCAGAGTCAGGCAATTCAGTGTAGGCTTCTTCATGAAATGCAATTTTCATGAGAGGCCGCTGTGCAAGAATGGCTGCTAGGCTTTGCTTTTTAAAATTTATTTGAGCCCAGTTAGCCGCTAGGAGCCCTCCTTAGTAGGTGTCCTTTTTTTTTCCCCCTCAAGGCTCACAGCATTTAGCTGTAAGTCTGAAGTTTGTCAGAAGAGTCAGGACTAAAGATAAAGATTTGGGATTCATCAGCATATACATGATGGATAATATGTGTAAATTCACCCAGAAAGCATAATCCTATATAATAAAAGCCTAATATGCTAAGTGTCCAGGCGTCCATTCAACCAATCAAAGCGTAATATGCTAATGATATGCTAAGGTCGCTCAACTGCTAGCTATGACATGCACTGACCACCAAGGGGCAGACAGTCAACTGGTGGACCAGTTGCTATGATATGCACTGACCACCAGGGAGCAGATACTCCAACTGGTAGGTTAGCTTGCTGCTGTGGTCCAGCCAATCAGGACTGAGCGAGATGGGCCAGACATGCCCTGGAGTCCTCCTGTGGTCCCTCCCTGCCTGGCCAAACTCCTGTATCCCTCCCCTGCCCTGATCTTGCACTGGTGGGGTCCCTTGGCCTAGCCTGTGCCCTCTTGCAATCCGGAACCCCTTGAGAATGTCAAAGAGCCAGTTTCAGGCCGATCCTACTCAATGCAGGAGCTGCCCCCTGGTAGTCAGTGCACTCCCACGGGGGGAGCGCTGCTCAACCAGAAGCCAGGCTCACGGCTGGCAAGCACAGCAGTGGTGGTGGGAGCCTCTCCTGCCTCCATGGCAGCACTAAGGATGTCCAACTACCATCAGTTGGACATCCCCCAAGGGCTCCCGGACTGCAAGAGGGCGCAGGCTGGGCTGATGGATGCCCCCACTCCCCCGAGTGCACGAATTTTGTGCACCAGGCCTCTAGTAGAGGAATAAAAGCCTTGGGGTAATAAGAGAACTCTGGAAAAGATAAAGTTTCAAGAGCAGTAACAGAAAAGAGAGCAACACATGGGATCGAGGTTGGAAAAGTGAGACAGGAGAGAACCAAACTGAAGTGTGTCACTCAGGTCAGTGAAGGAGAGTAAGTCAAATAACTCAGCAGCCATAATGAACTGAAGAGGTCCCCTCAATTTGTTGATAATAGAGCTCATTAGGACCTTTGTCAGAGCAGTTTTTGTTGATTGGTTAAGGAAGAGGCCAAATTATAAGAGGTTAAGGAATGGTGGAAGTTGAGGAAGTAGGAAACAAGTGTCTCCTACCTAGTTAAATTGCCCCTCAGGTTCTGATAGTCGTTCCCAAATCCTACTGGATATCCAGAATTTATTCATGAAGTCCATGGACCATATGACATTCAAATTATTGTCACCTTGAAGTCAAATATCTAAATATGCTTGACAAGAAGGTCTTGAGGCATGGCACACCCATGCTGATTACCAAACCAAGATAGGCAGAAGAGGGTGCTGAAAATGAATTATCAGGTATCTAGCTGGAAAACCTGGGTGATTGGTGATTTAATTAACCAGAAGGAGCCAATAAAGAAAGTTGGATTTTTAGGAAGGAAAGATCATGTAACCTTTTAAACATTGAATCTGGGGTATTTTTATGATAGCAATAAGGTATATCCAGTAGGAAGTCAGAAATAAGGACCCAGAAGTTACTCTTCCAAGATGCTGAGAGGAGAAAGTTGGGGACAGAGAGAGGCTCTTTCCTTTCTCCTCACTTGTCAGAGGATATAGATAAATGCAATGCCATCCACCTTCAGTCTTGAGGGTTTAAAACATCCTCTAAATGTGAGATAAGTTTAATTTCCCAATGTTTGTTTCTCTTCCAGTATGCGTTAAGCAATGTTATAATGATAAAGAAAGAACAGCACGAATCCATCAATAAATTTGAAATGGTTTTCATTGATGAAGTGGAAAAACAAAATGAGCTGCTAAGTCAACTTGAGCACCTTCCCCAAGGTTATGATGTATCATCCAGAGAATTAAGGGACCTCAAATGGAGCCAGAAGGTGGATCTACATATTCAGGTATAATTTATTTTAAATGGATTTAATTAGACTTCGAGCCTTTTTTTAGCAAGTAGGTACCTTTTCATGTGCTTAGAGGCATTGTCATTTACCAAAAATTAAAAATAAGCTACAGAATAACAGCTGGCCAGATGTAAAGAGTACCAAGTCATAGAGGAGCCTCCTTTCAGAACTCGGCTGATTCAGAAAAAATGTAACAATATCAGCAAGTGGGAATTCGTGGAACCTCAGAATATGTTTCTAAGTGCCGTCTAACGCTTCCTAGACCTGTGACTAGGCGTCAGAAACATTTTTATTGCAACAGCTGCAGGTGGAATGTTTGCTCTCGGCCAGAAGTGTGAGGCTAGCATCTAATTCCTAACATGCATGTACATCTTGCTATATGCACAGAAAAGTGATATCCAGAAGCACTTCACATATTATTATTAATCACAAATTTATAGTTTTGACAGATTTCAATTCTAACAGGCAGAATTTGTGGGCATGCCTCTGTTATGTAGCCTATACTGCCAAAATTTTATTCAAATAACTAGAATAAAGTTTTAGACTAGAATTTTATTTCTAATATTATTAGAAGAACTAGAATTATATTTACTTCAAAAATATCAAGAGTGAGAGTTCAGTAAGATATTTTCCTCTTTTTATGATATTTGTGAAATATATATAAAAACTTCCCCAATGTTCATGAATTTACTGCTTACTTTTTAACACAGGAAATTCTCAAAGATTTTTCAGAAAGTGACTCCCACATCATAAAGACTGAATTTCAACAAGTACTCAGTAATAGGAAAGAGATAACCCACTTTTTGGGAGAGTGGTTGAATACTCATTTTGATATAGAAAAGCTTAAAAGTGGAATCCAGAAAGAAAACGATAGGATTTTTCAAGTGAATAAGTTCTATAATAACAGAATAATTGTAAGTAGCAGTTTTTATTGTGCTACCTATTCTTTTCGTTGTGTGCTTTAATTTTTCTACCTCATTCTTAAAAGGACTTAGAGCAACTGGATTTTTAAGTATGTTTTCTTTCACTTATTTGTATCTGCTTTGTGGGGGGAAAATTGACAATGTAGAACATGTTCTTCCGCTAACATTATGCTTCCTTAAGATAAATATACCAATTTATACTTGCAAAGAAGATAACAAAACATGGGTGTGTGATACCACTTCCCACTTGTGAACTCGTGAATCCTCTTGTCACTCTCCTTTCTTTCCTCGCTTTTCACTGCTTCTGTAGGAATTGAGCCCTTTCCCTAAGTAGCCTCAGACACGGGGAGACGTGCATTGTGTAGCAGCCATAGACAAGTCTGGAAAGCTACTCTAGTGAGGCCTCATGTGCTTTTCATCTAGTGGGTCACTATCATATGTTCTGTCCTTCAACTTGAGGTTTGAAAATGTAGTTTGTATCATTGTTCCCAAGTTGATCAGCCTGGTAGACTGATGCATAAGAACAAGCCTTGCTTAAGATCAGTTTATTAATTTGTTATACTTTCCGCTGATCAGAATATTAATGCTGCTTTTTGAAGTAATCCCTGCTTTATATATATATCTGATAAGACATGTAGTAATCAGAAAGTTGCTTCTTATATATGCAGTTGGAGCAAAGGGTGCTAGAGTATGTAGCTTTTAAGATGGCCTCAGGAGATAACGACCTGCTGGCTTAGGCCTGCTCCTGGGTGGCAGAGGGCAGGCCCAATCCCTAGGTGCAGCCCCTGGTCTGTTAAATGGATAGTTAAAAAGTCCGCAACCAATAGAGAAAAGAATAAAACCAATGTTTAGATAAACTCCATATAATTCAGAGTTTTTTGTAATATGGGGGATTTCTACCATGTGAGTCAGCATGGAGATGAGACGTCTGTCAGCACCCTGGCAGTAGGAATTGGTAACTTTGTATGGTGTGAGGTCAGTAGTCCAGTGCCAAGGGAAGTCCAGGGTACCAGTAAGAATAAAACTAATTTAGGATGCAGGTCTGACAGAATGACCAATTAAGCCATTTGTGATGAGAGCAAAAAGAAAATCCTATAGGAATTAACAAAAGAAAGGATGAGTAATTTCAGAGTTAGTTATCCTTCGATGTAAAAGACAGTATTGATTGCTATTCCCCTCAATGCAGGAGCTTCCCCCTGGTGGTCAGTACATTCCCACAGGGGGAGCACTGCTCAGCCAGAAGCCGGGTTCACAGCGCAGCGGTGGTGGCGGGAGCCTCTCCCCTCTCTGTAGCAGCACTAAGAACCCCTAAGGGGATGTCCACTGAGGGGTTCTGAACTGCAAGAGGGCATAGGCTGGGCTGAGGGACCCCCGAGCCCCAGTGCATGAATGTTGTGCACCAGGCCTCTAGTGTTTTACAAATAAATATAATCCTCTCCAGTCCTTAGCCTTTTTTTATTCTCCTCAACATCCAACATCATCTAAAATGTTAGGAACCAATGCAAACCACAAAGAATGTTTATAGCCCTGGCCAGTGTGGCTCAGTTGATTGTGCATCATCCCATGCACTGAAAGGTCACCACTGGTTCGATTCCCGCTCAGGGCACATGCCCAGGTTGGGAGTTTGATCCCCAGTTGGGGTGCGGGCAGGAGGCAATCGATGAATACTAGGCTCTCATATCAATGTGTCTTTCTCCCTCTCTCACTCTCCCTCTCCCCCTCCCTTCCTCTCCCTCTACCTTTTTCTCTCTCTAAAATCAATAAAAATATTAAAAATAAAAAAGAACATTTACATTCTTTTATGTTCTTCACAAACTGTTCTAGAATGTTTGGAAAATGAATTTCAACATATACTAGTATCTTGTCCTAGAATTCTAATATTTCATAGGGTTTTT